TAGCTAAAAAGTTTTATCTGATTTGTTCTAGTTTGGTCTGGTCTATTTAAATCTAGTTTGATTTCATAAACATTTGGTGCATGTGTATTTTATTATTGTACATTGTACAAGTAGATATTTGACCTTATTTTTATTACTTCTTGAGCAATTTCTAAAAACCTATGCAATGACAATTGCATGAATAATAAGGATATTTTTACTTGGACTGTAATTTGCTGGTCTGGTCTGGTCTGGTTTCTTTGTATTTTTATAACTATCCAAGTCTGGTTTAGTCTGAATTGGTCTGGTCTGATCTGGTCTGGTCTGGGAGGAATTACAATCCAAGTAAAAACATCTTAAGGCATACATAATTATTAATATTCACAATGTACCAAAAATTAGTAATTCAACAATAACAAAAATATTACACCATCTGTCCCTTACAAAATTTTCATTATGACATCATTTGATGATTTAATAATTAATCCCTAATGAGGTAATAATAATGAATGGTAGAACAATGGTAAACATGTTTCCATGAAACCTCCTTTAAACTTTGTTGAGCCAGGAAACAGATTTTCCTGTGAACTTTAGTCTCTGCGGACTTCTTTTGAATCTGATCTTGAGCACACTTAGGCTAGAGCTGGATCAGTTGAATCAAATCTGTTTTCAAGAATCTGTTGACTCATATCTGTTTTTTAACAGATTTTTCTGTGAATCATGGTCTCGGCAGACTTCTTGTGAATCTCGGGCGAAAAGATGAAGAATGGTGCTCGATAAAGGGATCAACCAGTTCTGTTTTACTTATTGGGATGTACTTGACCTAACTTGTGACATTGGTTTTTTGTTTTGTTTGGGAGAGTGTGAGGAAGAGGGTGGAGGAGATGGTGTGGGTTTAACAATTTGCGGCCATCTCCCCTAGGTTTAGGGGTCGTATTCCCGGCTTTCGTCTTCGACGAAGTGTGGCATTCTTGTGCAGTTTTCATCTACCATTCGTGAGGCTTTCTCCTTCGGAAGGCCGCAGTGCCTCTATGGCGGCCAAAGGTTGTGCACCCTTGTCATCAGGTGAAGAATTTCGAGGATGACGTTCATGTTTGAGATTAGAAGGTCATGGACAAAGCATGAGTTAGGGGTTGGGACAGATCTGGGTTCGAGGTCATTCGTGTTAGGCGACAGAGAAGACTTGGTAAAGAACATGATGAATAAGAGGAAAGGAGAAGAAAAAGTTACAGTACTGTTGGACCGTCCTCATCGTGTACCGCCGTCATGGAGTGCAGGGGAGTCTAGGGCCTGGAAGTTGGAAGCAGAATTTTGATTTTACTGTTTGCTTGCTATTTATTTTTCATGATCAGACTGTTAATTTTTCTGTTTGTTACTTTTATTGTTGTAAAACTCTTGCATTATGAATGAGTGATGAGAGGCCTGCTCTAACTGTCGTTGGCTCATTTATGCTCATTATAGGATCAACGTGTCACATTGCTTTTTTGAAGGTGATCGACTCTAAATCTTGTTCGAGGACTGGCAGTTTTAACCCCTACCTGAATGTTGTGATATCAGTTTAAGACTTTAAGCTCACTTCTTCCAGAAAAAAAAACCCACTTTTTTAGATATTTACTGGAGCTATTTAATTTGGTTAACATAAAGAGTGATTTATTACTAAAGACTTCTTAAATATGTGCAAGTAAACGTGATAACTATGCACCGGTGTTCTCTGAAGCCTAGCATTTGTTCATAAATGTATATGAAGAACTTATGGATATAAGAGCATCTCCAATGCAAAAATTTGAAATGTGTATACTAAAGTTTGACCCCTTACTTATTCATAATTTACACTATTCACACTATTCAAATATGTAGTATTAGTTTATACTTCCTCCATCTCTTTTTAGTTGCAACAGTCAACATTTCACGTTTGCCAACACACAACTTTGACCGTCATTATATTTAATTCTGTATTAGTAAAAATAAAATAAAAATCAGATTATAAAACTTAGTAATGATACGAATTTCAAAACATTTTTCAAAAAAATAATTCATATGCATTAATAAATAAAATGTACTCAAAGTAAAGTACATGAATATTGTATATATTCCAATGTTGCAATTAATGAGATACGGAGGATAATATTAAATTTTATAAGTGATGGAGTTTAATTCCAACTATGAGAGCTAATCTACGAGAGCAGAGAAAATTTAGGCAGCGTAAGACAATATTATTATTCCGGAATTCAGATCCTTAGTAGGATGTTATATGAAGTATTTATAGACCTTCGATTCTAGTATTCTAGGAGGGAACTAATACACTTAATGCAGTTAATTAGAGAAAAGTACGGAAAAGGTACTTGTGGTTGGACCCATTTTCAGATAGGGTCATGTGTTTCATTCTTTATCAAAGTAGTTCATGTGTTTGAATTCCGTTATCACAAGAGGGTCACACCGTTAAAAATGTCTAAAAAAGACCGTTAAAAGTAACTCCAATTTTCAAGTGCCCGAAAAATTAAAAGAAAAATACTGAAATGTGCACCTCATCAAGATGACCTCCAAACCACCTCCGCCTTTGGATTTTTCAGATATGTTTGAATTATTTTTTTAAAATGATTTGCGCTAATATCACTTTTTCGATGGACTTCCCGGGGACAAGGGTGGCTGAAAAAAAAAAAAAAAAGGATGGCCTAGCCGTCGTCTTATTGAGGCGCACCTTCTGGTATTTTTCTTTTAATTTTTCGGACACTTTTGAAACTCGGAGTTACTTTTAACGGTCTTTTTCAGACGTTTTTAACGGCGCGATTCTCTTGTGATAACGGAATTCAAACACATGAACCACTTTGATAAAGAATTAAACACATGACCCTATCTGAAAACGGGTTCAACCACAAGTATCTTTTCCATACTTTTCCCAATTAATTATAATAGAGTCCTGTAACATTTTGAACGTTGTGCAATCATTGTTTCTCTAGGTCCACGTTTCTTCCGTTATTTCTTGTCGCTACCAGATAGCTATGCTCAACTGATAGCCTGCCACGTAAGCCCTATGAAGAGTTCGACCTTGCTAGAACTCCGCCCAGGCTCGAGGTCTGCTGTCCAGCATGGCCTGGTTGTGAGTTCCTTCCGCGGGTTGGATTCCTATTAGGCCCAACGAGTAATATTTATAATTAATCCCGATTAATGGGCTGATCCCGTTGATGAGCTTATCTTAAAATGATTCTTGGACCATGACTGCGACCCCATGATACCATCAATAAGTATAGATTTTTAAACTTTTAGGCTCAAACGTTCACATAGAAGACCACAAAAGTCAAACTGAGAACCTAAGTGGGGGATGAAGGGAGTATAATATATGAATTTATAAATTTATGATTGTTTAACAACTCACAAAATTTTAAAAATCATCACAATACATAGGGTTGCATGTAAAGAGTTGTGATTGTGAGATCGAGATTGGTGTGCATGTATAACTTCCAATAAACTAGATCTTTCAAGGCTCATAATTTTGTGTAAAACATATAGGTGGATTCATTTTTATTTAGAAAATACACAAAAAGATGCAGATTCCACATCAATTAAACATACTTGTGAATTGAAAGGACCACTCATCAACCTATGAAGTGGCAAGACTAGTCATTACACTGGATCGATGCGGTACGCAGTGACGGAACCAGAACTCGTGACTCGCAGGGGCACAATAACAAAGAAATGATATACTAGTCTAGAAAAAAATCATATGCATCACGAGTATAGTAATAAACAAAACTATAAAATTTAAATAAAACCACTGTTTTTTGAATGATCTGTTGCACCAATTAAAATCACTTTGTGGAAATTTAAAGTCACGCGGTTGGCAAAGACCTTTCTCAAATAACGTCTCCTCAACTCATCTCTAATATTAACATCATAAGTCTCAATCGGCATAACTTTTCTGTCCAGCACTTTTCTGTCCGAACGCCGTCCGAACACCGGCGTTTGGGGCGGTTCCCGGCGGAATATTTTGATGAAAATTTTTGAGCATGTTCCTCATCAAGTCTAGTTTATCCATACCAAACTTCAGCTCAAAATTCGATCGGGAAGGCAGTCAAATAGTTTGTTGAAGTTAACTGCGCCAAATTATACATAGAAAAACGCAGTTAACTTAAACGAATTATTTGACTGCCTTCCCGGTCGAATTTTGACCTGAAATTTGGTATAGATAAACTAGACTTGATGGGGAACATGCTCAAAAAATTTCATCAAAAAAATCCACCTGGAACCGCCCCAAACGGCGGTGTTCGGACGGCGTTCGGACCGGGAGGTGCTGGACCTGGGAATTTTCCTATATATATATATATATATATATATATATATATATATATATATATATATATATATATATATATATATATATATATATATATATATATAAATCACCGCAGGGGCACGGGCACCCCCTAGCCCTAGGGTGGGTCCACCCCTGGACGTACGGATAGTGTAAGATCCGAACACGCCCTGTGACTTTATTAAATGGACCCGCCCCGTGACCTGTACAGGTCATTACAAGTTGGCTCATGACCTGTCCCGTTGTAATCTAATTAACTAATATGCATCTTAATTTGCGTGAAAATCATTATACCTTCAATTTACGTATTCACCTCAAAATTATTAGAAAACACTCATCATCATCATCATCACTTATTTAGTTCAATTTTCTCTTCACACGAACATCATTTTTAAAATGAAAAAGAAAAAGAGAAACGACGTCGTTTGGTCTAGTAAGTTCAGGGGAAAGTTCCTGAAATAGGATTAATACATTTTGAAAATTTCAAAATAGGATTGTCATGATTTTTATTCCTAAAATAGGAGTAATTACTGTCAAGTTTGGAAAATACTGTCATGTTTGAAGTTTGGTACTGCCAAAACATGACAATAATTAATCATATTTTGAGAATAAAAATATAACAGTCTTATTTTAGAATTTTCAAATTTTTTTAGTCTTATAATAAAATCATGATAATTCTATTTTTGAATGTTTTAGTTCTCTAATTTTGTGTAAAACATATTGGTGAATTCTGAGTCATTTCTTTCACCTACACCGCCAAAGTCCTCTTCTTCCCCCTTTCAGTCGTAGTCCGCTTTTTGAACTGAACTGTGTCCTCGGCTTAACACACCTACTCTGCTACCGCTCCTCCCTGCTCCCTCGCCACTAGATCGCTGGAAGCGGCGAAGACGTCGGCTCCTAGCGACCTCGCTCCACCCTCAAGTCGACTGCCCAACTTCGTCATCTGTCTTCGCCTTCTCCTTTGGAAAAGTGGTCTCCCAGCTGATGAATTGACGAAAACGGTACGTATTGAGGTATTCCGTACTCGCTTCACACTGCTAAATTTCTATATACCTTATTGCTATTACTCCTTTCTTGGGTTGACCTAAAAATTGGATTTTTAAAGCCTAGTCTCAAATTTTCATTAATTGCTGCACCATGTGACCGTAGTATTAACCTAACTTGCATTTTTTAAATAAACTTGCGATTCAGTAATAAACTAAAGCGTAGAATGGTGAACTTTTAAATGAATTGTTAGTCCTACTTTTATGGAATTTCATAAAGTGTTACCTTTTTAGATTGATTTGTTACTCCTATTTTTATTATTAGCAAAGTTTAGAATGTTGAAAGGTTTGGTCAGTTTTGGAAATAAATTTACCCATACTCATAATAATTAACTTGATGTCATGAATGGCAAGTAAGAAAAAATATAATATTGTTTTATAAAACATGAATAAGAGAGACTTAAGAAAAGTTGTTTGTCTTGTGCTTCCATTGAAGACAGTAAACTTTCACCCTCTTTGCATTGAGTTATGCATTTTTTTGTAATATATCATTACTTATTTAAAAAAAAACTCTAAATCATGATATTTATATAATAAATATAGTAAAATGGAATATTCAAGAGTGAAATGGGCGGGAAAAGTGTCCCTTCTACGTGCACAAGAAAAGGTCCTATAAAGGTAATGCAGTACTACTTAAGAAAATATGCACGTGAAAATCCAAACAAAAAACAGCACAGAATACTTAGAGTGGATTATTGGACTTCTTAAAAAACAATCCATATAAAATTGTGAAAGTATTTGTGTAGCTTCCCAATAATTAATGTTGGATGTTAGAATTGATTACTTCATTAGTAATTATGATTTACTTGCTGCTTTTAATTTAATAGTGGTGTTTCATATTCCTAGACATCCTACGGGGATCTAAAAATATTATTTTTTGAACATAGCTTATTTCTAAAAGAGCCCCTATTTGTGGAGCTGTCCAATAACATGTAATTAACGTGTACATATTATAATGTTTTGAGTTGTGAGCTTAGTAGTATTTAATGGCTCGCTTAAGTCATAGTGTTTAATATTGATTATACTCCGTATGTACAACCCGATAGCACTATTTTACCCAGAAAGAGATATTGTCTTACAGTTTCCAGCTTTTACTTTATCTAACTAAGGCGTACTTGAGAGAGTTGATGGTAAAGTCAGATTATTATTTAGATTTGGAGTGCTAAAATTGCGATAAGGAATGCTGGAATTGGCTTATGTATCATTTCTATTGGTGTGGCACAAAAGACAATCATTTCCATAGCATGGAGTAGGTAAGTTAGCGTTGAGATGGTAAATACTTGTGCAAAACTTGTGTACTAGAAGCTACTCCTAGATTACCCATAAAAGCAAGTGTTAGTTTTGATTGGATCACTCTAGACAAACACAATAAGAAGTCTGTCTCTAGATGTTTTATTATATTTTGAATTAGAAGAATATGGTTGTTAATATATTCTTACGTTTATAAAAAGTCTTGAACACACGTTTCCGTCAGCGTAGGAGATGCCTAGAGCTTTTTTGTTAAAAGGGAATGTTAATTTGAACAAAGTGAAAACAGCACGAATTTAAACTTGGCTTGAGGTATTCTATATTATAGAATGTGGCAACTACTTAATTTTTAAATTGTAGAATGCGGCAACTACTTAATTTGAATGTGGTTTGAGGTATTCTATACTCCCTCTGTCCCAATTTGATGGTCTCATTTCTTTTGGGCACAAGTTTTAATAAAGTGGTTGAAAAGGTAAAAGTTGTGGTTGAGATTTCAGTATAATAAAGTGAAATGATATGGACCACATCTTTCTTTCCAAAAAGGGAAACAGGACCATCATTTTGGGACATCCCAAAAAGGAAATACAGGACCATCATTTTGGGATGTAGGTAGTATTATAGAATGCGGCAATCCATATGCTGTTTTGAAATTGGATTGAGCTATTGTATACAGTTCGTTATATAAGTTCTTCGTATACATTTATGAACAAATGACAACTTCAGAGAACACCAATATATAGTTATCATGTTTACTTGCACATATTTAAGATATTAATCAGATTTAATAGCTTCAATAAATATCTAAAGAAGTTGTTTATAAAATGCAATATGATTATAGATACCTCTAATGTTTTTCCTCAATAAGAAAACTTAGTGAACCATGCTCTTCCTCAATAACGATAGCTTTTCTAATGCTAAAAGCTTTAATTTCAAAAAATAAGAGCAGAAGTTTAAAGTTTTTTTAGTGTTTAAATCAAAGATTCAGGGTTTTGACTATTTTGTGTATTTCTTCTGCTTCAAGGTTGAGAAGTCAAAGGGAAGATAAAAGCTCTGAAACAGGAAAACGGAGGTAGGATGAGGAGTAAAGGGGAAAAAGAGGAATCGGCAAGGGATTCCATAAGTATACTGGCAGTGGTTTCAATTTTTACTGTGTTTGTAGTTGGAGTAGTCATTGGGTTAGCTTCGAGCACACACATTGATAAATACCTGAACTTTCAAACTCAACAGCCCCACACAAACACTGCCTTCCTTGGTTCAGGAAATAATTTTGTTTGTGAGGATTGTTTGAGCATGGAGAGTTTTATCCGTCCTAGCACTTTGAATCATGGAATGAAAGATGAGGAGTTGTTCTGGAGGGCATCATTGGTGCCCACAAAGAATGAGTACCCCTTTCAGCGGGTGCCCAAGGTGGCTTTTATGTTCTTGACCAGAGGGGCATTGCCTATGATGCCTTTGTGGGAGAGGTTTTTTTATCGCCAGGACAAGAACAAGTACGGAATTTATGTGCACGCCCCTCCAGGGTATGAGTTCAATGTGGCCAATAACTCTGCTTTCTACAACCGTCAAATCAAGAGTCAGGTAACTTTTTGTCATAGATCCTGAGAGATTTATTATAATTGATGTCTTTCATTTGTTCATATTATGAGACTTATTTAGTAATATTATGTTCATGTGTAATACCACGTACTATCTAGTGTCGATTGGTAAAGAGAATATAAATATATGTTCTTGTTGGTTTGGTTTCACAAGAATGTTTAGAGCACTCACCTAATAATCACAAGAAATTATTTACTTGCAGCGAAATCGGAGGAAAACTTTTTCTGTTGTCTGGCTTTTGCTTTGTCCATGGAAAGTAAATGGTCGTGTGTGACTATTTTTCTTTTGAAGGATGAAAATTTCCATTTGCATGGGGGGAGTGGGAATCAGTTTTGACACAAAGTTGGAAAGTACTCCCTCCATCCCGAAATAATCGTCCTGTTTTGACCTTCACACAGATTAAGAAAACAAATTCGACTTCACACTGTAACGACACTGTTTGGCACTGTAGCGACACTGTTTAGCACTGTTTTGCACCGTTTGACACTGTTTTGTATAGATTTGTTTACCAAATAAGGAAAGGAGACAATTATTTCGGGACAGACCGAAAAGGAAAGCAGGACAATTATTTCGGGACGGAGGGAGTATTACATTTCTTCTACAGAAAGCACTTTCCATTGAAAGCTCTAAGTACCCCTTAGGAAAGTGTTCAAAAATACTTTGGTGAAATGTCAAGATCATTATGATATTTTTTTTCCAATAAACATTGATGTGTTTTTCACAAGACTGACCTATATTGTATCAAAACAAGAAAACTAGTTTTGAACACTAATTCTGATAAAAATTACGAACTCTTTTTATTTAGTTCTATGTATAACTCTCTGCTTGCCATGGACGGAGGATGATGGGGACGTAAGTCACGTAATATAATCCAAGATGGAGAATGAGAGTGTGTTTGGTTAGCATAAAGCCTGGCTTAATTTTTATTTTAAAATTGTTTATATTGTACTTTTAAATGAAATTAAATAAAGTAATAAAAGGCAACTGTATCATATCCTTTCATTTTACAGTCAAATAAGTCAGTGTTTGATGAAATTGTGGGTACTGGAATGTGTTTTTTTCGGAAAAACGTTATTTTTAATTATTATGTCAATATAGTAATCTTTTATTGGCAATTTCTTTTCAGAAAGTTGAGTGGGGATCAGTATCACTGGTTGATGCGGAGAAGCGGCTTCTAGCCAATGCTCTTCTTGACTTTTCAAATGAACGGTTCCTTCTTTTGTCTGAAAGCTGTATCCCACTTCACAGTTTTCCCACTGTCTACAAATACCTCACTGAATCACACCATAGCTTTGTTGAATCATATGATGACCCATCACGTTACGGTCGTGGCCGCTACAACCGTAGGATGAATCCCAATATCAAGCTCCCAGATTGGAGAAAAGGGTCTCAATGGTTCGAGCTGGGCCGTATTTTGGCTATCAATATAGTTTCAGAAACAAAATACTACAACCTGTTTAAGAGTTACTGTCATCCTTCTTGCTACCCCGATGAGCATTACATTCCAACTTATCTTCACATGTTCTACGGGCCCATGAATGCTAACCGTTCCGTGACTTACGTTGATTGGTCGCTCGGTGGTCCGCACCCGGCAACATATGCCGCCGTCAACATTACTGAAGGCTTCCTGGAGGGTATAAGGTACAATGACACTTCTTCATGTTCCTACAACTCCGGGAAAACGCAACTGTGTTACTTGTTTGCTAGAAAGTTTGCACCAAGTGCTCTTGAACCTTTACTAAACATATCTTCCAAAGTGATGGGGTTTTAAAAGTTTTGACTGATATTTTTTCCCTGTTCCTTTGTAATTTGCTTGACCATCCTTATAGAGGATTTGACATTTGATGTGATTTAGGCTACTTAGTTTCATTGTTCTCTATAGGGCAGTGTATAGTTTAGGAGTTGGTCCAATAAATTAGTACCGAAGCATTCATGTATGTACACTAGGTCAGCCCCTCCATTTTTTTGTTGACTTCCCCCCTTAACTGCAAAAAGCTTCTCAAAAGAGAGGCATATGGGATACTGCATTTATTCACCCACCTAAAGAAAGAAGCAATGCCCCATTTTCATTTTGTTACTTGGTTGTTCTGCATCCATCTCCAGCATGTTGGCAATGATGGACTGTAATCCAATGTAAATGGATTTCTTCTTAATTTTTTAGTGTTTCTTTTACCGTTCAGTCTACCTAACTACATTAGGATGTGATACATTTATTAAGTAAAGTGAATAATGTGGCTAATTTTAAATTGATAAAGTAAGAATAAATTAATAATGATTTAGAACCATACAATCTTTATCAAATTTAGTATGTGACAATCTTAATAACACAGATCGACAATGAAAGATGAGATAATATTATAGAGACGGATGAAGTATTATTTTAAATCTAATATAATCGTCTATTTGGCCAACCCAATTTATGGTTAATTTCGATTTATTCAATAAGGAGATACTATATCAAACTAAAATCATTTGTGTTTCGGTTTGGTTTCGGTTCGATTACGAAGTGGTTCGGTTTCAATTTGGTTTCAAGTTTGGGTTACTAAAGTGAAAATGATTTGATTCAATTTAGTTAGATTTGATTTGAATTCATATAATTATTGTTTTATTTGATCTAAGTTCTGTGTTTTTTTAAATAGAAAATGGAAATTTTGGTACACCTCACCTTCTTGTATTTATTATTTAAATAAAATGTTAAGGGAAATAAAAGATATAAAAGAAAACTAAATGAGTCGGCTGTAAAAAATGTTGTAAGATTCATAATTATATTCAAATGAATAATGTAAAATGTATATTATAATACTTGTATAGTTTAAGCTGTATAACTAAAATATGAATGTAATATTCTATTTGTCCGCTAAACATCTTTTCATACATAGTACAAAATATAACTATGTTTTAATTTATTAGCTAACTTTTTAATAATGAATGTATGAAGTGTGTATAATTTGAGATGGTAGTTGCTAAATGTGTATTTTTCATATCTATGTTATTTATTTATATCCTAAAGATGAAAAGTGAAAACAAATACAAATTATTTTTATAAATATTAAAACTTGTTCGTTTCGACTTACAGTTTTTCGCATTCAAACCAAATCAAATCATTCGGTTTGAGCAAATTGTTACGATAGAATATAATTAGATGGTGTGTATTGGTTATTGTTTGAGTATTTCTAGAATGATAAGTTTTATCTTAAATTACCCTAAATTACCCTGTTTTGATCGGATATTCGGATCACTAGACAAACGCAATAAGAATTTTTTTTTTTTTTGTTTCTAGATGTTCTATTATATTTTGCATTAGAAGAATATGGTTGTTATTATATTCTTACGTTTATAGAAGGTCTTGAATGCACGTTTCAATCAGCATAGGACATGTAGAGTTATTCTAAATCATAATTGAACGAAGTGCAAACGGCATGATATTAAACTTAGATCGAGTTATTCTAAATTATAGATTGCGGCAACTACTTAATCTTAAATATATCCATATGTTGCTTGATAATTGGATTGAGGTGTTGTATATAGTTAGTTATATTACTTATAGCATCTCGAATGCTACAATGTACACGGTGCACATGTGTCATGAGAGAGATACACACAAATGATTAAATTTTCGACGTTTCTCTCTCCTTCTTTCCACGGTCTTATATGTTTTTGGTAAGTTTTTTCTCCACAATGTCAAACACAATGTCTAGATGTAGACATTGTGGTAGACATTGTTAAGAAAAGCTTACCAAAAACGTATAAAATTGTGGAAAGAAGCAGAGAGATATTCTATTTGTTATTTTTTAATCAACTATTTCTCATGTCACGATAAAGTTTGACCTAAAAAGTGCAACTAGGAACTTAATTGTGGGACGGATGGAGTATAAAGTTAAGAACTTTATAGCAGTTGACAGGGGCATAGCTAGGGGGCAACCTAGGCTCCGGCTCACTTCAAATTATCATTTTGTTTAAACTATTGAGGTAAAAAATTGTGTAAAAAAAATAAAAAATATTCTTTATATCGACTCACTCCAATAAAGTGACCTGCCTTCGCCCACCGGCGATTGATTTGTACTATCGTATAAATTTACACCAATTTCACCTAAGATGTGCTTATTTCACACTACGAGCCAATCCTAATTTACCCATATGGTTGCCATGTTCCTAAAAGGTGTGATCCATTTGTTTGTAGAGATTAACATAAAATAATTAATGTCTAAATATAATAAAAACTTATAAGCATCAATGATGGTTAGAGTATTTTAGGAATGATAAAATTTTTAGTGCAACTCTAAAGCAAAATGCACTTGTGCAATTTGTTTTAGTTATTGCACATTTCATCATTAAAAACACTTTTCCTTCTTTTAACTCTGTGAGATCAAACTGTTGAGTTCAACATTGTTAATGTGGCCTACACATTTTAATTACTATACACTTAGATTGAAAATTTTTGCATTTGGTTTTTGTTTTCATTTAATGTTTTCATTTAAACTTTCATTTTATTTTTTCTATGTTACGTTACGTGTTATGTAGAAGATGCACATATCAATTTTATGTAAATTTTAAGATTAGAAGGATACATATCACAGCATAAAAATAATGAATTTTATTGTTGTTGTTAATCCACATTATTTTCAAAAACGCGAGACCAAACTTTAATATGTATTAATTTACCTTATTATAATCCTTCATGAGTGTCAAATGACATTGTGAATATGGAGACATGAGTTTGATTTAGAATTTCGTATATTGTCATATGTCCGGCTTCAGTTACAATGTATTAAAGAATAAGTACATGTTAACGTGAAATTCGTAAACATTTCTCATTTCACTCCAAACTTGTGTAGTATTTGATTAGATCATATCTTGTTGTATTTCGTTCTGTTTCATGTGTTTTATATCTTGTTGGAAAGATCTTATCGACTTCCAAATAATATCTGATGGAGTATATGGCCCAGCAACCCCCAGCCCACATACTTCCAATACTACGATCAGGCCCAACAGGCCCAAGTTGGCCCAAGCACGGCAAACAAGACTCCAGGCAGCCCATACTACAGAAGGTGTGCCTTTGGCCCCATGCCCGAAGGCTCTATACTAAGCAAACGATTGAACCTGGTCCAGAAACATCGCTGGGGAACAAGACTTGAAATACGAGCCATCGGCATTTATAGCCTTTGGAACATGATGCCCTCGGGTATGTACAACCCCCGGGACGTGTAGCCGGAGGCGCTCTCCTCGACAGGATCTCCTCTCCACATGCGCTGAATCACCGCATCAGTGTAATACTTGAGATTTAATTTAAATGGATTAATAGTACTACTCATACCAACAACATGCATCTCCTTTTAAGGGAGCTCGTCACCAAGAACTTCAAAGTTAAGCGTGTGTGCACGGGAGTAGTCTTGGGATTGGTGACCCCACTGGGAAGTTTCTCAGGACGTGCACGAGTAAGGACAAAGTGCGCGGAAAAGGCTAGTGGCGGTTTGTGAGGACAGTACTAGAGGTCTAGAGAGTGTGTGGGAGTAACTACCTCAGGCCTTACGGGGCCGGGGTGTTAAAGTTGGTATCAGAGCAACCCTGCGACAGTGTGATGATCCGTTGGATATCGGGCGGGCACTTAGCAGGGGAAAAGATTCTGGGATATGATTGAGATTAGTTTATGGGCGCAACGATGACGTTGCGTTCCGTTGGATATCGGGCGGGCACTTAGTAGGGGAAAAGATTCTGGGATATGATTGAGATTAGTTTATGGGCGCAACGATGACATTGCGTTCCTAAGTGGGGGTGATTGTAATACTTGAGATTTAATTTAAATGGATTAATAGTACTACTCATACCAACAAGATGCATCTCCTTTTAAGGGAGCTCATCACCAAGAACTTCAAAGTTAAGCGTGCTTGCACGGGAGTAGTCTTGGGATGGGTGATCTCACTGGGAAGTTTCTCAGGACGCGCACGAGTGAGGACAAAGTGCGCAGAAAATGCTAGTGGTGGTTTGTGAGGACAGTATTAGAGGTCTGGAGTAACTACCTCGTGTCCTGGGGGTCGGGGTGTTACAATCGGGTACAACGTCACACCCAAACCACCGCATTGAATGCGGTCACATGCTATGTCGACGTCACCCTGGCTGAAGTGATCCTCCATCGTTGGTTGCTTGACACATGTACCCTCATTGGCTTCTATTTATAGCAGCCATAAATGCTCACATATATCGAATACATACTCACTCTCTCTCTTACTTGCTTTGACCTCTCTCTAGATATTTCTTATAATATCCCTCGGATAAGCTACCCCCAGAGTACACTATCCATCATTTGGTGCTCTCGTTGAGAGGTCGAACGATAAAGTAAGAACCCCCCTCTCAGAAAAACACTCCTCAGAATGGGTAGAACTCACGGTCAATCCAAGACTTTGGAAAATAAAAACCTAGGTCTCGATGAAGTTAATACCGCTGAAGCCTCAAACAAAGCTCCTGAGGGCGGGGCCTCGCTGAAATGGAGTAGGTCACTGCTGACCTGCGCCTTCAGCTCCAGAAGAATGCTCCCGACGCTCATGTCGGCCTCGAAACCCGCAGGAAGGATCGGAGCAAAAACCAAGTTAGCCCTCCGGTCCTGATTATCGACGTATAGTCGGCCTTCTCTGCCTTCATCCACACTCTCACTCATAACCCACGCGCATTCGGAGCGTTTGTGCCACCCCAGGCACAAATCGGGGAGAACGTCGTTCCTGTTCCACCGCCTCCACCCCCCTTCAAGTGCCCGGTTCCAAGAACCGAAAACAACGAGGGGGTCATTTCTCAGGACACCGCGTCCTAGGAGATCCAGTCCCGGGATCAGCGCGGCGCGAACAAGGATAGGCCTCGGACCTCCGCCCTTGATAGGCTCGGAGGAGTGCAAGATCGTCGGGGGGTCCAAGACCACCTCGGTGGTAAGGCATTCCAAAGGCCTCAGGAGAGCGGAGGATCCGTCTCGAGGGCAGACGAGAGGCGTCTCCCTCGGGACAAGGGCAAGGGACTGTTACATGCTGATGACGCCAGACACTAGATCAACCAGGCCCACTCGGCCCGCGCGCAATCGCTTGGGGCGGAGGCAATACCAAAGGATTCTAGGGATGATATCATTGAGGCCCTCCAGCGCCGACTCCATCTCGTTAGGCCCAAACGCCGGCTTTCGCCTCACAGGCAT